AAATAGGATTTAAGGTTGTATCTACAGAAATATTGAATACATATCTAAAAAGGTTATACTTTCATTGTATAGGTCACTGGTTAGGCCACATTGGGAATATTGTGTTCAGTTTTGGGCTCCTTGCCTTATGAAAAACATTGAATTATTGGAAAGGGTTCAGAGAAGGGTCACTAGAATGGTGCCTGGGATGGTGGGGTTGTCATATGAGGAGAGGTTGAGATCTTTCAAATTATTTTCTCATGAAAAAAAGAAAAGTTAAAGGGGATCTGATTGAGGTGTTTAAGATTGTAAAGGGAATTGATAGTGTTGATGCATCATCTTTTTTTTCATACTTAATAGTGAGAATAGTAGTCAAGGTAGGAGTCATTTTCATCTAAGACAGTTTTATTTCTATAATAGGCTGGTTGGCTTTTGGAATGGGTTGCCTTTGGATGTTGCAGAGGTAGTAAATTTAAGAGCATTTAAGAGAAAGCTTGATAAGTATATGAATGATAAGGGCTGGCTTTAAGATTTTTTAAAATAATTTATTAATTATTAGTTTTAATTTAGTTTAGAGGATGGAACATCCAAGATGGACTAATAGGTCCCATGTTGTCTCAAAACGTATGTTATATAGAACATGTTTTTCACATTTACTAAAATATTGCCAGTTTTCGTGAAGATACACATAGTAAATTCAGAATTATAGTAATTGTTAATTCTCCAATATGGGCTCAGTCAATAGCACAAGCAACACTGCAAATGTGATATACATACATTTAGGCTTACAGGTGAGTAGATACTGTAAAACCAATCTAAAACAAAGAGAAATTACCAAGACAGAATATGGAAAATAATCAAGTTTGCAGACTATCGATAATGTATGATACTATTGACGATTGTTTTCAAATCTAAAACTTACTATCGATGCATTGCTATCAGGATGTTCATAATCACAGTTTATCGATAAGTCAATGTATTGTTACCCTCCTTGTTGTGATTTGTTTTCTTTTTAGGCACGATACAAGCATCTATGTGGAAAAATAGCCATTTTGACAGTGTGCAACCAGTGGACACACCAAGTCATATTGTAACATATTAGTTGTGGTACATCTGTAACTGATGCAATTAAATGAAACATAACACGTATCTCTCAGAAAATTATGCATATTTTACAAAGATACACTAGCTATCTGTAGCACTAGTAATAATTTCTTGCATTACTGGATTCTTTTTGATGATTTGATAAAAATAATGCAAAATCCAGTCCACTTAACGATAAAGAAAACAATTTATTTCTTAGACTGTGATATATTATATCTGTAAGCTATGTGCATTACTCACAAATATAACCACCACTTTCTTGTCCAATTTTCACTCATATCTGACACAACTTGCAACTAACTAACAAACTAAGTACTCAACCAATAACATGGCAACAACTTCACTAATCAACACATGTACTAACTTGCTGACTGAGAAACTCTTTGACTGATTGACAAACGTAATTATGTTTTATGTATATAATGATATTTTTTTCTTAAACTTCCCCAAAATATGAGCCATCATGTCAAATGTGGACATTCAGGAAGCTTTTAGATATCACAAATCATCATTATATCATGCTAAGATTCCATTTACAAACAAAACATTTAAATTATCAAAAACATGGTAGAGAAAAGTTATAGGTGTGATATTTTCAGATAAATCATAACCTGAAAGGAGAAACAATGTAGATCTTCTGTATAACATGAGGTTTGGCAAGATGTTTTGCAAAGCAGTACCGAGTTCTGCTAAAATAATTCCGTCTGTGCTAAAAAATAAATGGAGTGGACACAAGTGCAATACTGAAGGAAAACAATACATACTTATCACAACACAAATCAACAGTGTGTCTACTTCGTAGCTGCCTTTACTGAAACTGTGAATTAATCAGGCTTTTGAGACTCCCTTGAGATGTATTTTTAGACAAGATGGTGTGCCAAGC